GCCTCTCCCGTTGTGGAGCACAGGCTCCGGACGCGCAGGCTCAGCGGCCATGGCTCACGGGCCCAGCCGCTCCGCGGCATGTGGGATCTTCCCAGACCAGGGCACAAACCCGTGTCCCCTGCATCGGCAGGCGGACTCTCAACCACTGCGCCACCAGGGAAACCCCACCATGATGTTTTGATATATGTATACGCTGTGAAATGATCACCACGATATCAAGCTAATTAACACATCAATCACCTCACATAGTTACCATCTTTGTGTGTACGTGGTGAGAACACTTATGACCTACTCTCTTAGCAAATTTCAAACGTACAATGTTTTATTATTAACTGTAGTCACCACGCTGTACATTAGACCACCAGAACTCATTCATTTTATAATTGGAAGTTTGTACCCTTTGACCAACCCCCGTTCCCCCCTCCCTGTAACCACCATTCCACTCTTTGTTTCTGTGAGTTCGACTGTCTTTTGGATTCTACGTATAAATGAGGTCATGCAGTATTTGTCTTTCTGTGTCTATCTTTTCTCACTTAGCATAATGTCCTCCAGGTTCATCCATGTTGTTGCAAATGACAGGATTTCCCCCTTCCTCATAGATGAAAAATATTGCAATGTATGTATACACATCTTCTTTATCCATTCACCTGTCCACATACACTTAGGTTGTTTCCATGTCTTGGTTATTGTGAATCATGCTGCAATAAACTGGGGAGTACAGATATCTCTTTGTGATAGAGATTTCATTTTGATATATACCCAGAAGTGGGCTTGCTGGATCACGTGATAATTCTATCTGTAATATATATATATATTTTTTTTTGGCTGAGCAGGGGCTACTCTTCGTTGCAGTGCGCGGGCTTCTTATTGCGGTGGCAGAGCATGGGCTCTAGGGCGCAGGCTCAGTAGTTGTGGCGCATGGGCTTAGTTGCTCTGCGGCGTGTGGGATCTTCCCGGACCAGTGCTCAAACCCGTGTCCCCTGCGTTGGCAGGTGGATTCTTAACCACTGCGCCACCAGGGAAGTCCCTATTTCTAATTTTTTGAGGAAATTCCAAATTTTTTTCTCACAGTGACTGCACCAATTTACATTCCCAGCAACAGTGTAAAAGTGTTCCCTTTTCTCCACACCCTCCTCCCAATCATTTAATTTACACACACATAAAAGTAGATATCCCTTTCCCCTCAAAATATGATCATCCCGAATTTGCTGTTTTATAGCACGCTTTCCCCCTTAATAAGTCACGTGCCACCTTGAGAGTTACCAAGCCCACGATATCCCTCCAGCAAGTGAATGACTGGTCTGAGGAAGCCACCTGCAACACAGGTGTCTTCTAAGGCATGCTTCTCATACGTTCTGGAACGTCCCAATCACCAGTCTGGGTGATTCTGATTTAGGAGGTCGGGGTGGGGTCTGAGATTCTGCATTTCTACCAAGCACCCGTGGAATCCTGCTTGATGCTGCTGGTCTATGGTTACACTTTGGGTAGCAACATCCTGAAATGATTAATTATTAAATATTCGACCAGCCTCTCTCAAGAGGCTGAACCTTGGAATCTATATTTTCACTACTTTCTCTAGGTGATTCTTTATTATTTTCTCTCTTTTTGTTTTTTGGTGGAGTTTCTTTCTTTTTTGCGGGGGGGGTGGTGGTGGTAGAATATACATAATGTCAAATTTGCCATTTTAACCATTTTATTTATTTATTTATTTTTGGCCTCACCTCGGGGCATGCGGAACTTCCCCACCAGGGATTGAACCTGTGTCCCCTGCAGTGGAAGGTGGAGTCTTAACCACTGGACCACTAAAGAAACCCCATTTTAACCATTTTAAAGTGCACAATTCAACGGCATTATGCACATGTACGATGCTTTGCAACCATCACCGCTCTCTAGTTCCAGAACTTCATCCAAAAAGGAAACCCCATGCCCAATATCAGTCACTCCCCATTCTCCCCAGCCCATGGCAATCACAGATCTGCTTCCTCCCACCCCACACCGCTTTGAGGCATGCGTGATCTTATTTTCCCGACCAGGGATGGAACCCATGCTCCCTGCAGTGGAAGCAATGGAGCCCTAACTCCTAGACTGCCAGGGAATTCCCCAGATCTGTTTTCTGTCTCTCCAGATTCACCTATTCTGGATATTTCATAGAGATGGAATTACTCCATATGTGAATTTTTGTCTCTGGCTCCTTTCACCCAGTATGATGTTTTTAAGGTTCATCTGTGTTGTAGCATGTGTCAGAGATTTATTCATTTTTCCGAGGTGCCTCTTATGTCATCTGTGGGTCAAGAACAAGTTGGATCCTGTCCGGGCAGTGTAGCAGCAGGGGTTGAGAGTACAAACTCTGTAATGTGGTGGCCAGTTACACCTCCTTGGAAAGTTTCACTCTGCTCATCTGTAAAATGGGGATAATAACAGCCCCTCCCTCACAGGACTATTTGCAAAGTGACTGGAGTGTGCTAAGATCTCAGCAACTGTTAGGTACTATTGTTCTTCCGTCTTGCGAATATGCCGTAATCGGTCCAACCAACCTCCTACAGCTGGACATTACGGCTCTTCCTATTTTTCTGCTTTTTCAACAAATGCTGAGACAAACATCTTTAAATATTTTAACACTTGTCCAGTTATTTCTTTAGCATAAAATCCTGGAAGTGGCATTGGCGTGTTAAAATGTTATTTGTATTATGAAATATTTCTGACACGTAGAAAAAGAACAGACAGTGAATACAATGAACTCAGGGCTTCCACCTCCCGGCTTAAAAAACAAAAAAATTACAAATAACAATGTCCTGAGTAGCTTTCCTGGTTGCATCCCTTCCGCTCTGCCCCCAGAGGTCGCCACTGGGACTTCCCCGCCCCTTATCATACCCATGCAAGTTTGTGTATAATTTCATGCGTCCACACACAACCCCTGTTTTATGTGTTTTAAAACTGCGTGCATTCGACTATGTAAACTTCTGCAACTAGCAGCATGCTTTAGGGTTGTCCAGGTTGATATACAGAGTGCTGGTTCACCTACTTTCACCGTAGTATGGTGTTCCCCTGTGTAAAGATACCATGATCCATTTAATTCATGCCTCATGTGATGGACATTTAAGCCGCTTCCAGTTTTTCACCCTTACGAACACCACTGTCGCAAGTATTCTTGTGCTTATTTTTTTGTTCACATTTTTGAGAATTTCTCTAGGGTGTACACCCGCTGGTGGAAGGTCTGCACTTTTTTTTTTTTTTCGGTACGCTAGCCTCTCACTGTTGTGGCCTCTCCCGTTGCGGAGAACAGGCTCCGGACGCGCAGGCTCAGCGGCCATAGCTCACGGGCCTAGCTGCTCCGCGGCACGTCTTCCCGGACCGGGGCACGAACCCGTGTCCCCTGCATCGGCAGGCGGATCCTCAACCACTGCGCCATCAGGGAAGCCCAGGGCTGCACTTTTAAGATTCAGACCTGCTGATAGGACTTTCCCGAATAGCTGAGTTTTTTTGTTGCTGTTGTTTTTTTAAATTAATTTTTATTGGAATTTAGTTGATTTACAGTGTTGTTTCAGTTGAGGTGAGCTTTTTTTTTTTTTTTTTCGGAACGCGGGCCTCTCCCGTTGCGGAGCACAGGCTCCGGACGCGCAGGCTCAGCGGCCATGGCTCACGGGGCCAGCCGCTCCGCGGCATGTGGGATCCTCCCGGACCGGGGCACTAACCCGTGTCCCCCGCATCGGCAGGCGGACTCTCAACCACTGCGCCACCAGGGAAGCCCCGAGCTGAGCTTTTTATAGGGTCCTCTCTGCTTGCTGGCTCCCCTTCTCCGGGTGAGGCTGCATCTCTTCTCCGGAGCTGTAGCCATCCTTATGGGGGTGGGGGTACCTGGGTTGGGGGTGTCTCCGAGCTGGGGATAGTCCCAGCTGGGGAAAGAACAGAGGGTGGGAGCCTGGAAGCACGAGTGAAGGACACCTAGGAGGGTGTTAAGGAAGACCCCTCAAAGAGGGACCAGTGTGGTCCTTATTTTATAGATGCGAGCCTGAGGCCCAGAGAGGGCAAGCCACTTCTCCAAAGTCACAGAGTGACGGATTGCAGAAACCAGCTTCATACATTCATTCCTTCAGCACAAATTAATGAAGCACCTATTCCGTGCCACGCATTGTTCCAAGAGCACAGGATATACAGCCAGCAACAAAACAAAGACCGCCTGCTCCAAGTGTGGGGCTTATTATTCTGGGCGTAATTATGATGAATTACTAATTATGTTTGCCTCTAGGACTGGAGCAGAGGGGTGATCTCAACTGTGGGCGTGGGGGGGTGCCCCATGGGAGCTCCCCATGAGTCAGGGCTTTCTTCAAAGCCCCCACCTATCAATCTCCTTCTTTCTGACCCTTTCACCCACAGAGTGTATTGTGGGTACTCAAAATTAAACAGGTTATTTAGGGGAAGAGAAGGTGGTCTAGGAGTGAGGCAGAGAGCGAAAAGCCCTTTGTACCGGGCAGGGTTGTCAATAAAGTTTTGTCGCCTTGGCAACCGCTGGCCCAGATGGGCGGGGGGAAGGAGGTGCGCGCGCATTCACCCCCCCTCCCGTCCTCCCCTGCTTCTCCCTCTGGTGGTCGAAGGTTTCGCCATAGAAAAAGAACAGGGAGGTCGCGACTCTATGGTGACAGGCGGAGACCTTAGCCAATGGAAGCATGAGTCGCTCCAAGGCCAACCAATCACATACGGGCTCTGGAGCAGGCGGTACCCGCCCTCTTTCCACTTGGACCCAAATAACCCGACCCAAACCCGCGTTTCTCCCGGAGCGACGGCGCTTTCGGCCAATGAGGGCGTCGACTTTGGGCCGTGGGCGGGGATACGTCTCCATGGCAGCGCCGGAAGGACAGCGGCGGCAGCCACTGGGTGCAGTTGGCGGCTCTCAACGGCAGCGAGGGCGACGCGGAGTTTTTTAGGGGCGCTGACCGTGGGGCGGGCAGGGAGGGGCAGAGCGGAGTCCGGCCAACGGGAGCGGCGCAAGCTTCAGAGCGACTGAAGAGTGGCGGCGACCTTGGCCAATGGAAGGCCGTGACGGCCGTTGCGAGGCGGGCCCGGCTGGGCAGACGGGAGGCGCGGCGACCGTGTCTGAAGAGAGCTGGAGAAGGCTGTGGGAGGTGGTGGCAGCCGCAGCGCGGGCGCCTGAGGAGGAGGAGGAGGAGGAGGAGGAGGAGAAGCGGGTGAGGGGCGGCGCGGGGCCCGACTTCTGAGCCCCCTCTCGGCCCCCGCCCCGCGTCGCCTTGGCTCCCGGTCGTCCCCAGCCCCGACTGTCCCCCTCCCCGCCCGGCCCCTCCTCGTGTCCAGGCGCCCACGTCTCCTGGCCCTTCGGCGAGCCTCAGGCTGCTCTCGGCGCCCAGCCCCTTTCCTGTGCTTCCTTACCCAGGCCCCGCTCTCGCGCTCCAGGCCCATCCCTGGACCCTCAGCTCGCCCTCTGACTCTACACTCCGCTCCCCGGATCTCAGGCCCTTCTCCTGCACTTTCCCTGCCTCCCCAGGCTCCTGTCTGCTTCCCCCAATTTCCCTCTGGACCTCAGGCCTTTCCCCTGGATTCTCACTGTCTACCCAGATCCTTCCCTGGAGCCCAGGCTCTCTTCTCGCGGCTCTTCTGTGCTCCTCCCTGGATCCCTAGGACTTTCCCCTGTCCCTGTTTGCTTCTCCAAGCCCCGTTCTGGAACCCCTAGGCCCCCCTATACCATCTCAGGACCCTCCCTGAACCTCCAGGTCCTTCTCTACTTTCGTTGGACCCCTGGTCTCCCTGCTAGCTTTCCTGGGATCCTCCCTGGATCCCCAAGCCTTCCCGCAGCCCTCGGTCTCCCCCGCAGGCACCCCCGCCCCTTCTCCCTGCCCCAGCTCCCTCCCTGTGGTGTCCGTATTACCCGCTTGCCCCTCTGCAGCTTCCGTTCTGTTCCAGCGCCTTCCCGCAGCGCCCCCTCTTTATTTATCCCCAGCCTGCGTGCCTTCTCGACCCCCTTTCCCAGCTGCTCTAGCTCCTGATCTCTTTCCAGCTCCCCTTTCCTCGCCGTCCCCCATCTGCTCTCCCTGAAGCACCGTGGTGTCGGTGCCCACCAGGCCCTCTGCAGTCGGGGTTAGGAGGCTTGTTTTGTTTCGTTTTGCTAATCCCCGTCTTTCTCCTCTTTTTTTATGGGCCTCTTCTGCCTCTCCACACCGTTCCTTTTCTCTCCCCCCCTCCCCCCGCTTTGTCCTCTGTGCCCCTCCCTCCCCCGGAATCCTTGGAGAGAGAGCAGGTGCTGGGATCCTTCCTCTGCTCTCCCTCCCCTCACCCGCCTCCGACTCGGGCTGCCTGGGGTTTCACCCAGAGCCTTCTGAGGACTCCCAAGGGCTGCTGGGGATGGGGGTGGAGGCCAAGGCCAGGAGAGAGTGGGGATGGGCAGAGGAACAAGCAGTTCTGGTTGGGCAGGAAGCCTGGGCTTTTTCCTTGGTGAGGGCCAGAGGTGGAGCTGCTGGGTCCCCCTTGACTTCCACCTCCTGCAGGACTAAGCCTTTAGGGTTATCCCAGACTGCCAATTAATCAGCCTTCCGTGGGCCAGCTGGCACGTTTGCGCGTGTGCGTGTGTGTGTGTGTGCGCGTGTGTGTGTGTGCGCGTGTGTGTTTGTGGTGTGTATGGGGGTCTTGGGGAATCTGCGTGTGTGTGTGCGCGTGGCGGGGCTGTCATAGGTGGCTGGAGGAGATGCAGCTACTAACGATGGTGGCTGGCATTTCTTTGGGGATCTCCCCATTGTCAGAAGCACTTGTTGCATTTCATCTTCACCGAGAGCCCTGTGAAGTCAGTATTGCTTTTCTCCCTGCTTTATAGATGAGGAGACTGAAGGGCTTGCCTAAGTCTCACACAACCTATAAGTGACGTAGAGCAGGCACACGCCCGGGGCACCGCCCCTGCCCCTGCCCTGAGCGCTCCACTCTCTGCAGGAGGCAGCATGGTGCCTGGGGCACCATGGGCCCCGACAGAGTGACAGCCAGGGAACTGTGTGAGAATGACGACCTCGCCACCAGCCTCGTCCTGGACCCCTACCTCGGCTTCCGCACCCATAAGATGAACGTCAGGTGAGGCGACCTGGGGGAGGGCGACCGAGGGCTCGGGACCCCTTCCTTCCACTGCCACCCCTCAGCCCCATCCTCCTCTCAGCTCCGAGTGGGGGTGGGGGTGGGGCCTGGGAAGGCCCAGAGGGAATAGGCCAAGGCCCTGGGACCCAGGCGTGCCCTCTCCCCCAGCCCCGTGCCCCCCCTGCGGCGACAGCACCACCTGCGCTCAGCGCTGGAGGCCTTCCTGAGGCAGCGGGACCTGGAGGCTGCGTACCGGGCCCTGACGCTGGGAGGCTGGATGGCCCACTACTTCCAGAGCCGGGGCCCGCGGCAGGAGGCTGCCCTCAAGACCCACGTGAGGGAGCCCTTCCCTTCCCTCCCCTCGGCCCTCGTGTTCTCCCCGTCTCCTCTGCCTGTCCTGGGTCCTCCGCCCTGTCGGGCAGACCTTCAGCACAGCTCCCCGGGACTCCCTGACTTCCTAGCCATTGGGACCATCTGAGGCAAGGCTCAGAGAATCCTAGGAAAGGAGAGCTGGGGGGCCCTCTGAGATGGAGTCTAACTTCTTCATTTGACAGATGAGGAAACTGAGGCCCCGAGAGGGGAAGTGAGTTCCCTGAGACCACACAGCGAGTCAGTGGCAGAGCAGGACTAGAACCCAGGAGAGAGGGCCGAGGACGACCCTGCCCCACGTCCTCACCGTGCCACCCCTCACCTCCCCCAGATCTATCGCTACCTCCGAGCCTTCCTGCCTGAAAGCGGCTTCACCATCTTGCCCTGTACCCGTTATTCCATGGAGACAAATGGAGCCAAGATTGTGTCTACCCGCGCTTGGTAAGAGGGCAGAACATACCTCCCAGGGCCCTAGGCCTGACAGGAGGCATCCCTCCCTGGGGGCTGCTGGGGGAGGAAACCCCCTCCCTTCTGGAGGAGACTGGACACTCGGGACAGGGCCATGAAGATGTCTGTGTTGAGAGAAAGGAGGCCGGGTCTGGTCCCTCAAGACCCTCCTGGCCCACCACGGCCCTGCTGGGAGATGAGATCCCCTCGAGACCCAGGCTCTCTGGGGCTGCCAAGAAAGGACTGATCTTGCACCCAGGACTGTGCCGTCTTTTTTTTCATCCCCACTGGAGCCCCTGCTGCGTAGCAATCGCTGCTGGGTGCGGGGCAGGACCGTGAACAAGAGGACCCTGCCCACTGCTCACATTCTAGCGGGAAGGCAGGTGGTAGCTGAGTGAGCGCACAGGGCTGACCACAGCTGCTCAGTGAGTCCTGAGCCTGCCCGGGAATTTTGAGAGTGTTCCTGGGAGCCAGGCCTAGGCTGAGGCCCAAAGGATGAGCCAAAGGGTCTAGTGAAGAGTGCGGGGGTGCCTGTGGGGACTTCCGGGCAGAACTGGACTGCGAGAGGCCGAGGCAGTGGGCACTGGAGGCTGGAGGAACCGAGAGCGGGAGAGGATGCGGGTCAGGCTTTCAGGAGGTGGAGGGTGCCGCGCCTGCGCAGGTGTAGAGGCAACGGTGGGTGAATTTCAGATTTGGGAGCTGGAACGCGGTGGCTGGTGCGTCCCATCGATTCTTCCCGCCGGAGGCCTGGGATGAGGGGCCCCTGTCCCCAGCACTGGTGGTCAGGGAGGTGCTCACAGACCCACCACCTGGCTTCTGGGCAGGAAAAAGAACGAGAAGTTGGAGCTGCTGGTGGGCTGCATCGCAGAGCTGCGGGAGGCGGACGAGGGGCTGCTGAGGGCCGGGGAGAATGACTTCAGTATCATGTACTCCACCCGCAAGCGCAGCGCTCAGCTGTGGCTCGGCCCGGCCGCCTTCATCAACCACGGTGGGGACGAGGAGGGGGCTGGGGGGGCCGGAGGGGGCAGTGGGGGCGGGGCCGGGGGCGGGGTGGTGCGAGGAGCCAGCGGGGGAGGGGTTGAGCCCCGGCTCTCTGGCTCTCTGACCCAGTTCTCTTCTCTCCCCGCGACCCCCCAACTGGCTCCAGACTGCAAACCCAACTGCAAGGTGAGACCTGGGGACCCCCGTTCGCAGGAATGGGCACGAGGGAGGGGCTTTCTGCTCGGCGAATAGCCAGAAACTGTCCCCGGGTCTCCCCATCTGACAAAGTAGTTTCCCACCCCTGGTTGTGCAGCACTGGCGCTTGTGCGATTGTCAGAGGAGGGAGGGGCTCTGGTTAAAGTCACACTGGAACCCAGGCTGCCACCTGCTGGCCGCATTCTCCCTTCTCTGAACCTGGGCGGGGGGCTGGGCCAGTTTGGCGGGAGTGTGGTGATGGGGAGACACAAAGTGCCCCTGCCTGTGCCATGGGCCCCGGGCTTCCCAGGGAGACACCCACGGCAGCTGTGATAGCAGGAGGCTGGGGAGGGCCTCCTGGGGTGGGGTCAGAGCAAGTGCTGCCCTGGAGGACAAGGACTCTTCCCGATAGGAGGCTCTGGGAGGCCACCCCCCACCCTGTGCTGTGTGTGGAGCACGGAGCAGTGAGAGAGAGGAGTTGTGGGGAGATGGCCCCTGTAAGGCCTTGGGTGTGCACCCTGCCAAGTGTGGGGCTCACCTGGCCGCCCTTGGGACCCCAGGGGTGTGGGGAGGGTTTGAGTCCTGGCTCTGCTGCCCTGGCCCTGTTTTCTCTTCTCGGATGGGAAACGGGGAGAACTTGCCTCCTGGGACAGTCGTGAAGGCTGGGTGTGTGGCAGCGTCCTGTGACTCTGCACACTGTTCCGTGGGTTTCGGGGCACAGACGCTGGATAGGATGGAGAGTCGAGCAAAGCTCGGTGAGGTGGGGGTCAGCCACCACGTGGTGTGGAACCGCAGGCTGCATGGAAGTGACGCTGGAGCCAGGCGTTGAAGGAGGAGTAGGATTTTTCTAGGTGTTGAGGGCAAATGGGGCCGCTTTAGGGCATCTCAGAGGGGAGGCGCCACACCGGAGAGCGAGGAGGCACAGTAGCTCCCGCCTCGTGTGTCAGCGTGAGCTGGGTCTGCCCCGTGGAGGCTCCCATGGGGTGAGTGAAGGGGGCTTGGTTCTCAGAGGCCCTGGTGCCGCTGCTCTGGGAGCTTCGGGGGTGGGCCTGGCAGGTAGCCTGGGGCAGAGCTGCGTAGGAGGTGATGAGGGGCAGCTGGGGTCTCAGGGAGGGAGGGAAAGAGGACGCCCAACACTGCCCGCTCAGGAGGTGCCGGCCAGTTGTCCTGGCATCAGGCGGGTGGGCAGGCGGCCAGGGGCACTCCCAGGTGTGTGTCAGGCTAGGATGGACAGATGGGTGGGAGTGCTGCCTCTCCCAAATGGGGAGCTTGGAGTCAGGAGCAGGCAGGCGAGAGGGGTGGCGATCCTGGACTGGGGCTGCGGGGTGGACACAGGCCTCGGGAAGGGCAGGCTGCAGAGCCAGGCAGAGGCGCACATCTCGGCCACTGAGGTGCAGGCTGGCAGGGTGTGTCAGAGGAGCCCAAGAAGGAGTGCTGGAGGGAGCAGTTCTTGTGCACGGTGCCAGGGGCTGGTTAGGTCATGTCCTGCAGGGAGGGTGGGAGCCAGCAAAACGGGGGAGGGTCAGGGAGTGCATGCTGAGGGCAGGCCCTGGGCAGGGCTCTTCCCCAGGATCCCGGCGCTGCCCATCCTAGGGGGACCCTTGAGGCCAGGGTGCCAGGCCAGGCGGGGTGGAGCCAGGCCACCCCCAGGACAGGGCGCTGAGCCTCCTGGCCCCTAGTTCGTACCTGCAGATGGGAACGCCGCCTGCGTGAAGGTGCTCCGGGACATCGAGCCAGGGGACGAGGTGACCTGCTTCTACGGCGAAGGCTTCTTCGGTGAAAAGAATGAGCACTGTGAATGCTACACCTGCGAGAGGTGGGGATGGCCTGCAGGAAGGGACACGGTCCCTGGGATCCTGGGAACCAGAAGTGCATCCTCAGGGCCCACCCCTCCCTCCCTCCTCATTTCCCTCCCATCCTTAGGAGAGGCGAAGGAGCTTTCCGACTGCAGCCCAAGGAGCCCCTGCCGCCCCGGCCCGTGGACAAGTATGAGCTCCGGGAGACGAAGCGGCGGCTGCAGCAGGGCCTGGATGGCCCCCGGGCCTGTGCCCACCCACCCCCGCTGCGCCGGGACCTGTTCTGCGGTGAGTGTGGGGCGGGGCCCTGTCCTGTTGGCCTGTCTTCATCAGCTGCCCCCCCAGCCCCAGCCCCTTCTCTGCCCTCCGCTCGTCTTGTCCCTCCTGGTACCCCCACTTGGTCCCCCAGACAGGACCTCACTCCTGAACATCCCTCTCTTCATCTGTCCCCCTCTGAAGAGCATCGGTCAGGGGTGGGGGGGGTGGCGGCTGGCCTGAGCAGGAGCTCTTCCCCTCTGAAGAGGCCCTGCTCACACAGCTGCCCTTTTCTCTCCCCACTCCCCCTCCCTTGGGCCTCCACAGCTGCCTGCCAGCCCCTGCGCCCCCCGCCCTGCGGCGCCCGCCCCGATGCCTCACCCCTCTGGCTCCAGTGGCTGCCTCAGCCCCAGCTCCGGGTGCGCCCCCGGAGACGCCGACGCCCCCAGCCCCGGCGGGCCCCGGCACCCCCCGTTCTCCGTGCTGCCCGCGTCTCCCTGCACCGATGGGGAGGCTGTGGCCCCCACTGCTGCCTGCGGGCAGAGGCCCTAGTGGCTCTGGGGCCGGCCGCCCGTGCCCGCTGGGCCCCCCAGCAGGACTGGCACTGGGCCCGGCGCTACGGGCTGCCTTACGTGGTACGTGTGGATCTGAGCCGTGTGGCCCCGGCCCCGCCTGCCACTGCCACTCCCGTCCCTGCCGGGACCCCAGGCCCCATCCCCATCCCCAAGCAGGCCCTTGCCTTTGCCCCCTTCTCCCCACCCAAGCGCCTGCGGCTGGTGGTCAGCCATGGCTCCATCGACCTGGATGTCAACGGTGATGGGCCGTGACGGGCTGGACAGGGAGGCCCAGGCTGGGAGAGGAGGGCGTCCCTTCTGGTCCCCTCTGCCCTGAGTTCTCAGTAACCGACCTCCAGAAGGAGCTCTTGGACCTCTGGGAGGGCGTTGACTTTCAACCCCAGCACAGCTCTGACCCCCAGGGCGGGTTGGTTTGGACACCCCCTGGGGATCTGACCCCTGACCCTTCGTGACTGCTGACCCCTGAGCCACCCCCCATCCTAGCAGGGAGCCCTGGCCATTGCCGCCCTCCCACCCCAGCCCCAGCCTCAGGGCTGAAGGAGCTGTTCCCTCCCCACCCGCCTTCTCCTGCCCAGGGAGCAAAGCCATAAGGGGTGGGGGCCGCCCCGTGGCTTCTCCAAAGAAGCCCAGGCCTCGGGAGGAGGTGGAACTGACATGGGCTGGCGCTCCCTAGACACTGCCCTACAGAGGGGAGTCAGTGTGCTCTCGGCTCTGTGTCTGAGGTGGGGGGCGACGAGGGGGCGGCCAGGGGCATGTCCCCACCACCCCCGTGGGTCTCAGGGAGGCCGGTGCGACCTCATCTTTCTCATGGTGCTATCCCTGGTGCTACTGGGCTGTGGGGGCTCCCTCCCCTCCCCCACGCCAGAATGGGGTATGTTGGGGGATTGGAAGCACTTGAACTTTCTATTTTATTTTATTAAAACCTTGTCATAAGCAGTGCCCTGGGAAGCATTTCATCTTGATTTACATTTTGAAGTGATGTCCGTTGGGAGGGTGAGACCCTCCGCCTTGCTGGGGAGACCAGACCGGGAGGAAGCAGCCCAGACTTTGGGCCCTGAAAGCTTTGGAAGGGTGGAAGGGCAGTGGGCTCTGAGGATGGCCGAGTACAGAGGCGCAAACTGTGCTCATAAAGAATGCTTTCAGTCCCATCTTCTCACCCAGGTGGGGAGTCTCCCCATTTTTCAGATGAGATTAGTGAGGTCCAGCAATTAGAGTGACTTGTCCCGGGTCACCTGGGGCCAGATCACCCTTGTCTGAAGTCAGAGCCCCTCCCAGACCTCACGTGTGTCATCTCGGTTGGCCTGGCTCTGTGAGGCCAGGACAGTGAATCTTCTTGTTTCTTCTGATCCAGTTCAGTTCTCAGTTCTCCAACCAGGGATTCAACCCGGGCCACAGCAGTGAAAGCCCAGAATCCTAACTACTAGGCCACCAGGGAACTCCCCCCATCGTCTCTTAATTCTCACCTCAACCCCCATTCTACAGAAGGAAATACTAACAGCTTACAATCAGTGAGTGCTTCCTGGTACCAGGCACCCGCTGCAAAGCGTCTTGTGGATATGTTTTTTTTGTTCATTGAGGCCTCACAGCCATTTCATGAGGACAAGCCAGGAATGTCTGAGGGTCGTGTGTGGGCTGCAGGCCCCAGTTTATCTCCTCCATGTCGACCGGCCTTGGGAAAGTTTACCCTGGAGGCTGATGAGGCCAGGCCATATGCATGAGGGACATGGGGGTGCTGAGAAGAGGGGGTGAACACACATGGAGAGGCTGCAGGAAGACTTGGGTGGGCCAAGGAGATGGCCCAGGAAGGGGCACTTCCACAGTGGACCTGGGGGTGGGGATGGGGACAGTTCAAAGCAGGTAACTTTTTTTTTTACTTTAAAATTCATATTATTTATGTATAGCCTGCTTCATTCCTTTCAGAATGAGAAAATGTGTCTTTCTTCCATGCAAATCCTACTGAACCCTCCTAGTTTTCTCCCTCAGGTTAAAAATGAGGGAGAGGGCCTCCCAGTCAGCAAGTGGTAACGAAGAGAGATGGTTGACACAGTCGCTAAAGAACTTGTCCCTCTAGACAAGCAGAAATTCATGGCTTCTCGGCAAATATGACAGCAGAGTAAGGAGGCTTAGCCTGGATGGACATTGGAGGTTCCGAGAACCTCCTGGAATCCTATTTCAAATGTAGTAACTGCGTATTCACAGGCGTGTTCTTGGCGCAGAGGGTTTAGAGCCTTCATCCAACTCTCAAAAGTGTCTGGAACCCAAAACACGAAGATTAGAAACCAGTGATCGGGGTCTCTCACTCTCAACACTGCTGCTGTCTTGAGCTGCTAATCCTGTGTCACAGGACGAGGAGTGGCCTCTCAGGCCTCCACCCACGAGTTGCCAGTAGCATCCCCTTAGTGGTGACAGAAATATCTGTGATCATTGCCAAATGTACCCCTAGAGGTCAAAGCCAGCCCCCAGTGGGAACCACTGGGCTAGAGTGACAGGATGACGGGGAAGGAAGACCTCCAGGACAATAACTACAGCTGACACTGGTCGCAGGTTCTGTGCATCTGGCATCAACCTTCACAGCAGTGCTACCAATATCACCCCCCTGCCTTTGCAGGTAGTCGGGAGGGCAGGCACGTCTGCCTGAGGCCGCACAGCTGGTACGTGGACAGAGCCCGCCTTGCTGCCAGGTTTCTGCCTCAACCACCAGGTAGATGGAGCCCCAACCACGATAGGGAAGTGAGAGGAGTGTGTGTTGGGTCCAGTGAGCTGGCGGGCCCTGGGATGTTTGGGTGGAGCTGGGGCTTGGGAACCCCAGAGGGAGGGCCGAAGTGTCAAGGCTCAAGCTGAGAACCCCGTCATACACTTGGGGGCCAGAGCAAGGAAGCGGAGAATCTGGCTGGGGGAGGAGGAGGAGGGAGTTGAAAGAAACAGGAAATAATTACAGGCCAGAGTCTCAGGAAGCCCCGCACTCTGCAGTGCCTTCCCCAAAGCTTTCTAAGTTCCCCTCCTTGGGTTACTGGGACGGTAGGGAGCCAGGCAGGACATCCCAATCCTGGATCCCATTTCTCCCCTTGGGGGAGCTCTCTGATGCTTTTACCCTGTGCATGGGGCTGACCAGATGCCTGCAGGAGCTCCAGGGCCCTGTTGATGGTGTTGGTCATCCTGGGGTTGCTGATCCAGGAGGGCAGCTGACGATCGGTCACCCCCACCTCCAACATGATATTGGGCACCAGAATCAGGCCGACATGAGGACTCTCAAATTATTTACATAGAGAACCCACACACCCTGAGGACAGCTGCACTGGACACTGTCCTGGCTTGTGACACAGCATCACCCTCCCCACGGCCCTGTGAAGTCTAGGTATCGTTATCACTGTATTTTAGGTGAGAAGGCCACAGTGCAGAGGGCTTAGGAAGTTTGTCTGGGGCCACAAGGCTGGCAAGCTTCAGGGCCAGGACTTGAACCCATTCTCAGAGCTCAACCAGGCTCTGAGATCCTTGGGATGGGAAAGAGGCAGACACCAGAGGGGAGGCTGGGGCCGTGCCCACTGGAGACTCAGGGCTTGTTTCAGCAGTGGCTTCCATGGGAGGGGGGAGTGGGTGGAGACGAGGGCCAGAGCAGTGCCTGGAGGGTTCATGGAGCAACGGGTGAAGGGCACCGAGTGGTTTTGTGATTTTGACCGGGAAGCACCTGACCCTTTCAGTAGACTGGGAGGAAGGAGCTGCAGAGGGAGGGGAAGAGGGTAAGTGTGCGGTTGATGGGCTGGGACTGGGAGGGGGTAGCAGGGAGAGGAGGAGGAGAGCAGGGATGCAGGTTGTGAGGAGGGATGGGGAAGTCAGTTTCCTTTGTCCCGGGAGGCTGTTTTGGGACAGTGAGCTTGACATTGGGGGTTTCAGGATGTGGGCGGGCGAAGATGGCCCAGGAGCCTAGGAAGAGGTGTTCAGAGCCAGAGTTTGGGGCCTGAGAGTGTTGGCCCAGCCAGCTGGAAGTGAAGTGGGTCTGGCCCTGCCCTGGGTTCAGGCATCCATAGGGCAGTGGTGGCCAGAAGGGAAGCCAGGAGTGTAAGAACGTCCCAGGAGTGGTCAAGGGATGGTGGCAGGGATCCTGGCCCCAGAGGGAAAGAAGGGGGAACTGGGGGGGCTGCTGGCCCACAGGGCGAGAACACACTGCCAGCACTGGCGCTCTGGTGAGGTCAGGAGGCTGGCTGTGGCTGCACAGGTGTCAGGCCTTGTGCTTGGATGCTACCTGGATGACCTCACCAAGTGCTCAGACAGCCGCCACCCCATTCATTCGGTGACTCAGAGCTGCCTGGACTGCGTGGCATCACGGCTTTCCTTCTTTCCTGCAGCAGCGCCACCTCTGTGCAGGCCAGAGGTCTGCAGGTCGGGGGAGGTCACATGAACGACTCACCCCCTCCTGTAGCTTCCAGCCTGTCTGTCTGAGTCCACACCCCATGCCCTCATTTGCCCCTCTGCCTCTCAGGTTGTGGTCTGAGAGAGGGGGCCCGGGGCCAAGGTTTCGGGTGGAGCCATCCTGGGAGATGGCACATCTGGGGTGTGCCCTGGGTAGGGGGATGAGGGCAGCATAGAGGGGGTGAGGGGAGTGGATGGAGCCAGTTCTCCCCTGAGCTTACCCAGCCCCTCCCATCATTCCACCCCTCCTGATAACGGGATTTTGCACCATCTCTGTTGACAGCTGGGGAAACTGAGGTGACGCAGGTCAGGGGGTTTGTCCAGGGCCACCCAGTAAGTTGTCGTATGATGAGTAATAGCCACCTTTGAACCCTGGGGTTGAATGGAGACCTCATGAGATCACTTCAGGCAGAGTCTGGGGGTCCAGGCTGCCCCAGGAGACTGACAGCTTCAGGCAGAAAGTCAAATCCACCGCCCCCCTGATGGCCAGGACTCATGCCCATCTAGGTCAGGCTAGAAGCCCCAGGCTCTGAGCTCTGTCAAGGGTCACTCCTCAGCCTGGCTCGGGGTGGGGGGGAGAGGGGGAGGGAGGTGGCTGGAGAGGTGACATTTTGAGGGGCATCTGGAATCAGGATGAATCTCAGCATTGTGGTCCCTGAGCTTGGCTGAGGGCAGGCCCAGAGCCCGAGTGGGGCGGGAGCGAAGAAGAATTTATCCTGGAGCTCTGAGCGTCCTGGAGGAGCTCACAGTCAGGAATGGGCTGGCAAGAGAGACTGAAGTGACGTGTGTTTGATCAGAGGAGAAAAGGCTGCTCCTGGCTGTGGACAGGGCGCTCCAAAGACCTAGGGGACCAGTGCAGAGCACCCTGTTGGGAGGGGCTCATGTGATGGGGTTGGGGATGTACTGGGAGGGATGTGGAGTCAAAGGGGACAGGGGAGTGAGGGAGTGGTGGCAAGCCGGGAAGGGTGGGGAGCAGGGGAGGGAGTGATGGGGTCAGCGCTGGGTGGTATATAAAAGACTCCTTGGAACTTGAGATGGGATGGAAGGGGTGGGGCAGGAAGTCCAGGAGCCAGCTGGGGAGGTGGTCCAGGAGGGGAAGAGGATCCTGAAGGAAGAGGTGGAGGGAGGACTTGGGTGACAGGTACGTGTGGGGACTGAGAGGCAGGAGGACCCTGGAACCGTCCTGGTGGGCAAGTGTTGGGACTCAAAGAGCCAAGGGAGACCCTGCTGAGAAGAGACTGCTGCCTGTTGGAGGGGGGAAGGTGGGAAGGGGGTGGGAGCGGGGGCTCAGCTTGCTCCTACCCTGACTGTCCTCCCTCCATACCAGCCCTGATGGAGCCCAGTCCTCCCTCACCCCTCCCATGATTAGAACCAGTAGTGTTGGCTGCAGGGCACAGACAGGGAGGATCTCCCGACGCCCCCGTGCGCACCTCACTGACCAGACATTAAGAAGAAGTATCAGCAATAACATAGCTTTATTTGCAGCTTAAAGACGGGGCGGGGTTTGGGGTGGTGGGGCCCGGAAGATGAGAGAATTGGGGGTGATGACACTGATACTGATCCCTCGGAGAAGCCGCCCTCGGGCCGTTAGATTTTGCCAGCGAAAGTCCCGTCCTTGATCTCGGTCCAGCGCTGCACCTGGGGTGGGGGTGGGTAGGATGGAGGAAGGTGGGGAGCGGGCGCTTGCTCAACTCAGCCGGCCCATCCACCCTCGCCCGGCCCGTCTGTGCGCTGCCCCTCTGTCCACTCACCCAGCTCATGGGGCACAGCGCGTGGAACACGCGGAAGTAATACTCGCAGGGCTGTGTGCTTTTCCCGCGGCGCCTCATCCTCTTGACGCAGGGACGGTAGTCTGCCGAGTGGGGCGGGGGGGAAGGAGCGGGCAGGTGGGCGGGGTCGCAAGCACGCCCCGCCCCCTCCACGCCAAGGCCGCGCCCTCCAGAAAGGTCCAGCTGCAGACCCGCCTCCTCCCCGCCAGGCCTCGCCTATTCTGTCACCCCACCCTTCCGTGACTTTATCGCAAGCCTCCAGAATAGGCCCCGACCTTCCACTGATCGGTCCCGCCCTATCATACAAGGCCCCTCCCCTCCCAGGTAGGCCCCGCCCCTTCAGACCGTGGTCCGCTCCACCTCCCACCCCAACGGTCTCCGCCCCCGCGGCGAGTCCAGGACCCTCTCCTCGTCCTCAGGTGGGGCGCGCCCCTTCCTGCCTCCCACCTTCTCTCACCCGCTCCCCCTAACTTGGCCCGCGAGGTTTTACCCAGCAAATTCTGGTAACAGTTACGGGTCTGGTTCTGCTTGGGGAAGCGCGGGTCGAAGGGTGCCGTTGGCCATCTCCCCTTTCAGGGCTTTGGGTAATCAATACCCAACATCCACGAAGGCGGCGTCTCCTGCGGGGAGGGATGGGGTTCTGTGGGGCCTAGGGGGCGCCCCTCGCTCCGACCCGCACTCAGCTCCTGACCCCCACCACGAAACCCAGACCCCGTTCCCACCCGTCCTGCCCTCACCAGGCTGATGTCAGCGGGTCACTGGCTCAGTTGTGCTTGTGGCTCCGTCCGGGGACCCCCTCGCTTCTGAGTCTCGAGGGTCCCAGCCCAGGAAAAACACGACCCTCCCGGTCGGATTGGCTGGGACCCCCGGAGCCCCAGCCAATGGACGCCGTTGCGCCGTTGCGTTGGGACGCGGGGCGGGGTCGGTGTGGACCCGCCTCCCCCGCCGCGACTCCCACCTCCGGCCCGACACCCCCACTTGGGGCCGGCGCTCACACACAGGTACCCGGGCGCTGCTCTTGCCGAGTCTCAGGCTCATGCTTTTAATCTCTGCGAAACTGGGCCACCACGCGGGCTCTCCCTCGACCCGCCCCCCGCCCCCCCAATATATAAAGATATAGATAGCTCTGGTCTCTACCGGAGAAGGAGCATCCCCGCCCGGCCTTTTCAGCACCCTGATTCTTACAGTAGAGGTGCACAACACCTAGGGGCCTGCGAGGAAGAGGAAAGAGACAGGGTGGGGTCCGGGCTCCTGGACGCCAGCGCCAGGTATAAGGCTGATCTGCAGGGTTCAGGGGCTACCTGGCCCCGCTGGGCTCCTCTGGACACTTCGGCGACTGAGGTTGAGTTCCCCGCATCCCGCTATTGAGGCCGCTGGGAACCGTGCATGCTGCAGAGAGAAAGCCAGAGAGGGCTTTGGGGGATCGGCAGGGAGAGAGTAGTAACTGCTCAATAAATACATGCTGACGGGGGGGGGGGGGGGGGGGCGGGGGGCGTGGTCCTGCTCCAGGGCCCGGCAAGCCTGAGCTGGAATCCACGTTTCCACCAGTGTCCCTCCTAGGTTTCTCTCCCTCCTGCCTCCTTAATATCAAGTCTGACTCTGGATCCTTTGCCCCAACATCCAAACGCACTAATATCTCTTTCCTCTTAAGAAGCCCTCTTTCGTCCCACATCCTATACCAGCTTCCTCTTCAGGTCCCTCCTCCCCTTCCAGCAGATCACTTGGAAAGAGCTGGTCTACTCCTCCTCTCCGATTCCCCTCTTTACATACATATGTATGTATACAAGTAGTGGGAAAATACACATCCCATGAAATTTACCATTGTAACAATTTTAAAGTGTACAATTCAGTGGCATAAATTACATTCATAATGTTGTGCAAGCACCACCACTACCTAGCTCCCAGGACATATTCATCACCCCAAAAGGAAACCCCAAATCCATTAAGCAGTCACTTCCCGTTCCTCCCATCCCTTGCAGCTTCTGGCAGCCACCAATCTGCTTCCTGTCTCTTCGGATTTGCCTCTTCTGGACATTTCTTGCAAACGAAAATTGTACACTATGTGGCCTTTTGTGTCTAGCTCCTTTGGCTCAGCCACATGTTTTCAAGAGTTGTAGCACGGTGATCCACTTCCTGTGCTCCCTTAAGCCTGCCCCACTCAGGTCTTCGTTCCCACCAGGTCACCTCCTTGCTGTTACATCCAGAGGTCCTCTCTCGTCCTGTCTTCCTTCACCTGCTCGTGGCATCTGACACGGCTGCCCTCACGATGCTCCTCACTTTCTTCACCTGGTGTTCAGGATGCTGTTCAGTGTTCACTCTCTGACTATGGTTCCCCTTTCCCTAAACACCTTGGCCTCTGTCTCCACCTGCAGTCACTCGCTGGTGACCTCCAGTCTCATAGCTTGCAGCAACCATCCATTTGCTGATGATTCCCCAAATCATTCCAGACTCATGTGTCCAGCTGCGTACCCCGCATCGTCACCTGACATCTCAGAATCAAGATGTCCAAAATGGAATTCCTGATCTTGTCCCTGACATCTACTCCACTCACAGCTTCCTTGACTGCTGCATCTTCCCAGTGGCTCAGATCCCAAACCTCAATGCCATGACAACATGCCCAATCCATGAGCTGATCCGTTGGCTCAACCATCAAAGTATCTCTGGAACCCCACCACTTCTCAATACCTCCATTCCTTCCCCTCTTGTCCAAGCCACCATCATCTTGTTCCTGCCTCCGCACTCTTCTCCTGGCAACCACCCTTCCTCCTCTACCTTCTCCACACTTCAGCCAGAGAGAGTCCTTTCTAACATACAGCAGCTCCAGCCGTTCTGCTCAAAACCTCCAGTTTGCTCAGCATCAAACCCAAAGTACTTAAGATGGCCCCACATGATGGTGCCACCCTCGTGACTCCTGTGACCACAATTCCTACTCTGGGCTGTCCTGGAGCTCCCTCTTGGTCCAGCACATCGTGCACATTCCTGCCTCAGGGACTTTGCAGTGGTTGTTCCTTCTGAAGGGAACGAATTTCCCCAGATGTCCACATGGCTTCCTCACTCCCCTCCTTCAGATCTTTACACAAATGACACTAGCTCACTGAGGCCCTCCCGGACCACCCAATCCAATACTGGAAGCTGCCTACCCCCACTCGTAGCCCTCCCTACCCTGCTGTTTGCCCGGAGCCCTATCAGCTAATAATGTACAATATAATTACTGTGGATTTTATTGTCAGAGTTCCCAGCTTCAGCACTACTGATACTTTGTGGAGGATCATACTTTGCTGTGGGGCACCATCGCATACATTGTGGGATGTTGAGCATCGTCCCTGGACTCTACCCAAAAGATGCCAGGAGGACCCCCTCCCCAAATTGCTCAATGCCATGTCCATAGTGCATAGAATGATGCCTGGCACGTAGTTGACACTCACTATACACTGAGAGCACAAAGGAAAGTGGAAAAAGAAGGAATGATCCTCTCTACCTCATGGATAACAGAGTTGACAATACACGTTAGCTGTCACCCCAAATACCTGGGCGAAGGAGCAAAGATGCCCACTTCCTCCTTTATCTTCTCCACCTTGGAGACCATGTCCTTCATACTCTCAATTTCCAAGAGAGTGGGCAAGAGAATCTCCAAAGATGACCCCACTATGGCCATGGGGCACTGGTCCAGCACCCTCTTGGGTTCTTGAGATACTCTCCTGGGCTGTTGGGAGACCCTGGCCTCCATCTTTGAGACAGGGGTCAGAGAGGTAGGAGACTCCGTTACGTCCTCCCACCTCGCTGAGGGCGGAGAGATGGGAGTCAGGGAGGCAGCATTCACCTTGGGGCTGCTGGTGGCACGCTTGGGGAAGGGGGACGCTTTGGAAGGCCCCTTTGGGTCCCGGGGCACCTCCTCCACCTCCGCCCATGGATACGTGTTCCCCTTCGCCCAGGCCCCCAACTGTGGCTGCTCCCTGACCACCACCGGCATCTCCTCCAGCAAGGACACCTTGGTGGTGCTGAGGGGTACCGTGTCCATAGTTGGCATGGCAGACCCCTGCTGGGTTGAGAGCCAGGAGGGCAGATTGAACAGAGCTGATCTCAAGGAGGGATCCTTGGAACTGGCAGTGATCATCAGCTTGGCACGGGTGAGCCCTTCCACTGAGAAGGGCCCGGTCTGCCCCTGGGAGGCTTCCTCGATGGCCAGCTCCTGGGTCTTGATCCACTTCTGCTGCTGCCCCACCTCCTTGGATTTGAAGCCCAGCATGTCCAGAGAGATCTCCTCCTTCATCCTGCGGACGTTGTCCTCCAACTTGCCCTTGCCCTTCAAGCCATCCGCGGTGACATCCTGGGCTCTGCTGACCAGGACTTCCTCCGACTTCTTCTCGGTGGTGGTGAAAGGCAGCTCCAGGGATGTTTTCTGAGTCCTCACCTCTACTATGTTTGTCTCCTGGGTGCCCATCAACACCACGGCTCTGGCTTCCCTTCAGGCTTGCTTTTCTCAAGCACATCTCCTCCGTGACTTCCCGCAGGCAACACGCCAGTGGTGGCAGGGTCCAATGTCATTTGGTATTGGGTAGGTAAGGTCAGAGCCTTATGGGACGGGGTAGGTAGGAACACAGATTTTCTGTTTGGAGCAGGGCGGGGACACAGCCTTCGGGGGAACAGCAAGTGTATGCGCGGCCTTCTGAGATGGGGCAGGCATGGCTGGGGCCTCGTGGGGAGTAGCCAATACATGTGTGGCCTTCTGAGATGGGGCAAGCGTGGCTGGGGCCTCGTGGGGAGTAGCCAATACATGTGTGGCCTTCTGAGATGGGGCAGGTGTGGCTGGGGCCTCCTGGGGAGCAGCAGGAAAAGCTGGTGCTTTCCGGGATGGAGCAGGTACAGCCAAGAACTTCTGGGACTGGTCAAGGATGAATGGAGCCTTACAAGAGGCAGCAGGGATGGCTGGGGGCTTCTGGGAGGGCGGCGGCCACAGCCTCTGCACGGAGTCCAGAGGCCTGGCCTGTTCGTTGCACCTGTGGAAGTCAGGAGGGTAGGTGGCTGGGCAGAGGGAGGACGTGGACAAGGTGCTGGCCTCCGGGTCCATCAGGTCGTCCATGTCCTGTTGCCACGGGTACATATGCAAGTGATCACAGGAGCCCAGCAAGGGCATTTCAGGGCTGTCCTCTGAGATACAGAGTGAAGGGGTCTCAAGTAAACCTGCCAGGTATGTGGCCCCCTCAGAATTAGAGCAACCCTGTAGGTAGATGGAGGGTAGGGGAAGGATAGTCAAGGCCAGTGGAGATGCCCAGACCCAGGCCCCCAGCCCCCGCCCCCC